TCACTGGAGATGCATGTAATGACAGAGCTAAACAAACTTATTAAGATACAGAACTAGAATGAGGGATGGTGAAAGAATTTAAACCATGGAGTGTCCATATTCATTGCACAATATTTGCTGATATTTGGAGCTTGTGAGGTTGTTTGTAACATGCTGGTTGTATTAGTAGTATGTAGGAGTGAATGTGTGGTTCTAGGAATGGTTTCTATAGTTCTATTTAACAGAATCCATGAGTGATAACCACAAGTGTAAAAACCTGCACAGTTCTAGCAATTGGAAAAAACACACTTTATTATTGGTTTGGTAAGCCTAACTTGGATGGTTGATCAATCAATCTGTTTGAAATGGTGAGCAGATAGAATAAGCTTGAGCTAGAACAAGTGAAATTGTCCTCACATTCATCTCATGTTTGGGAACACTTCAGTTTCCCAGTCAAGTACAATAATGATGGGCAAAGAGTGGTAGATCAAACAGAGACAGCGTGCCAACATTGCTCAAGGCAAGAATCAAATACTTCAACTATGCTGTCTTATTTTTGAAGACATCACCCAAATGTGTCCGTTACCAGCGTGAAGAAGTTAACCTCAGTCTTGTGGCAAAATCGGAGGTTGCAGCAGCTGCTTCTCCCCACAGGAGTCAAGCATCCTCAAAGTTTCGATTGTGAACAGGTGTAACAGATAACTTGCTCCACAGAGATGTTTACAGCTTCTGATTTGCAGCACTACTCAGTTGTAGAGAGTCCTGGATTCCACAGTTTGCTAGAAGTGATTAAGCCACATTTCAAAATCTTAAACTTTTGTTTATATTATTTTAAATGTATTTTATGTCGTCTAAGAAAATGACTTCCTAATGACTAATCCCAGTAAGACTTGTAATGCCAGTAATCCCATCAACAAGCTCTGTTTTCCTTTGGGAAAACAGTGGAAAATTACCAAAAAGAAAGAAAAAAAAATAATAATAAAAAAAATAAAAATATGTGAAAGTTGTTAGCATTTCTTTTCTGCATCTGTACCAAAAATGTATTGTGATTCAAAAATTGCCAATCCTCAGCTAACAGATAGATGATGACAGATGATGAGGGAGGGTCAGTGAGGTAGGTTATAGCTTCTGATCTAAAACCAATCTTTTTTTGTTAGTTGTTCTCGAATTGGATAGAGGGAACTGCATCTAGCACAGAACTTAAGGGCAACCACTGCCAGGAGCTTGTTTTTTGTAAATGTGGCTTTGCCATATCAGATTTGGATAACATCTGTTGATGTCTGTGGCCGGCTAGTGCGCAGGAATCGCGTGCACCTCTTGAATGCTCGAACTTGATCTTGTTAGGCTGCTCTGAGACTGTGCTTAGACCTGTATTTACACATTTACACACTGTTTTGTCCCCCCACTTGCCTATTCATACTGCTGTACCACAACAAAATTGACGGTAGCTGAACCATATATATTGATATGCTTTTGATCTTTCCTTTAATGTAAACCAAGAACATGGTTTGTGAGAACGTGCAACTCCTCATTCATTTCATGTCCAACTAGTTGAAGCTAAATACTGATCTAGGAACCTCCATCAGCAAATGCTTTTGTAGAATACTTTAGGATAGAGTAACAGTTATAATAAATGTGGAAATACAAAAAATCTGTTTACTTATTTCCCTGTAAAATAGTATGAACTGTGCCCAATTCGAAGTTGGGAAATATTGACCCCATCTGTTATTTCAGTTACTATCAGAAATAGTCAGAATCTTTTTCTCCTTACCAAGAAACTGATCTCCAGAGATTTTTTTCCATAGATTGTTTGGAGAGAGAAAGCCAGCTTTGTGCTTTGAGGCTGCAGAGGAGTCAAATGACATTAGGCCATCATGGCATTTTTTGGTATTTAATCATGTTCAGGATCTAAACTGCATAACACCAGGAACTGATTTTAAATCTACATTAAAAATGTACCTGAAAATTACCTGAAAAAAATTCCCTCACTACAAAAAATTTAAAGACTTGAAAATTACTACTCTGAAATGTCTAAAATATCTTTTGCTTGACATAACAATGCTTTAAACTTCATAATATGCATTAAGAAATCAATGTTGTGATTTGTTTCTTTCATGGATAAAGTAACATCCAAACCTGGCCCAGCCTTAAACACTATGGTATCCCATAGCATGCTGAAGTTTAAGCTTGATCAAGCTCCTTTGGTGAAATAGATAATGATAGATAGATAAATAGACAATGCAACATGATTTGATCGTCTGTCCTGATTAATTGCAGCAGAACGCACATAACAGATGAGATCTCAGATAAAAGTAGTAAATCAGTCAGCGAATGTGGCTTCCTTCTCACCGTATTTGTCTCAAATTCCCTGAAGAAACAGCAGGCAAAGCTCACTAAAAGAGGCCCTTTCTCGGGACAAGCCCTGCTGGTTTGTTCTTGGAAAATATTGTCTGATATTGGGATTAATCTCACACCCTGCTGCTGTACACATCATACTCAGCAGCAGGCCTTACTGAGCTTAGCAAAGGACAGCGATTACATCAGAGCAATAAAGAAAATTGTTGAGAGAAAGATACCTCGCACTTTGAATTTGAATTGAATTTCATTCAGTAACAAAACGTCATCAGTACTATGACCAAGCAGCAATGACGCAACTGATTGCGCACAAATTTTCCAAATTGTGTCTAAACCAAGACTATGTCTTAAATAGTCTTATCAGCATCCGTAAGCCAATAAACAACTTTTGTTCCAAAATCTAAACTGCTCATTAGATGCCTAAATTACATGCTATGAGTAAATTATTGGTATTAGTGCTTCTTAAGCTGTGTGCAGTGCTCTTTTGATTACTACTGCTGTCTGTTATAATATATGACTTTTAATTAAGGATGCATTGATATAGGAAGTTTGGCCCAGATATCTGATATTTATTTATGTATACAAAAGTGCTGTGCAAAAGTCAGTGACCACCATTCATTTATTTAATTTCCACTCAAAAAGCCCAAAATGTGTATTTAGCAGAAAATTACACAGAAGAATCAGTAGCTAAATAAGTACAATGTTTCAGTATTTACTTAAAGCTTTCCTTCTTTTTAGGAGACTCCTTTTTCAGAGAAATCCACAGGGATATTTTTCCACACTTCCAAAGTTCAGTCTTAGAAGATGGTTGCATTTACTGCTTTTCACAATCCGATTAATCCCAAACACATTTAGGGATGTTGGGGCCTGGACTCTGGGGTGGTCAGTCCATTGTTCTGAGAACACCAGCAGCTTCTTTGTTTGATTTGCAAATTGTCTTCATATCTGAAGAAAGAGTGGAGCTGAATTTTCTTCTGTCTCTCAAAGATCAAAGCTTTCACTTCTGTTTATCTGATGGTGACAGTGTTGGTGGTCTAACAGGTCTTGTATGGTCGTTTAGAGTCCCATTTTTTCTATCCTTTAATATTTTTTTCTTTGAGGCTTAAAAATGCAGTAAAATGAATAAAATACAGACTTTTGAGTATAGTAATCCAGCGTCATCGCAGTATGATACTTGTCAGTATGAAACATCTGCCAATCATTTATTTAAAGCAATTATCTGCTTTCATATTTACACACAAACATTTAAAAAGTGTCAATCAGGAATTGCCGTCAAAGTCAAGGCGTTGGTATCAGTAGCTGGGTATGGTTCAAAAATCTTGAACCATACCCAGCCCTAGATTGTTAGTACGTTTGCTTAGTCTGCTTGGAGATCACGTTTTGTGAAGGATCTTACCAGCTGGGTAAAGATGTGGTGTATTTTGTCTAGGATGATGTTTGTTTTTGGAAATTGGTTTTATCGGTGTAGCAGTGGGTTGAGACTTGTAAAAGCCTGCATACTGGCCACGCTCAAGGGATTTTGTGAGCAGAATACTTGTGATAGGCACAGAGTGTTGACTTCATGATTCTTTATACACAGAACAGATAAGGTGCAGCCTGGCCTAGATCACGATGACATGCAAACCATCTCTCGTCAATGACTCCTTAAGAAAGCTTTCTTTCACAGCTCTCAGGCAGACTCAGCATTGTCTACTTTGAAGCTTTGCAGAATCCAGACTTTTCACTTTCATACTGACTTTTAAGCACAGAAGTCTTACTGCATGACATTTCTTCAGATGAAAGTCTTAAGTGCCGTCAGACAGACTGTAGCCCAGACCCTGAGTCATTCAGCGCAGTGATCTTTAAAGGGGTCATGGAATGTGACAAAGAGCCGTCTACATGCTGTAGACGGACCCGTCCCTCGCTCATTAACCCCTGGCACGGGCCTGTTTGAGATGCCTTTAAACCACTAGACAAAAGCAGGAGACTCCAATAGGTCTGGCACCAGTATTACCTTCACCCAGCTTTGTGCCACACTAAGGGCCCCTTTGGTAAGGTGTCAGGAAAGACAAAGGTCACCCAAATTCTGGCCTATGGAAGGTCAGTCCAAGTTCACCACTGCAACAGCTTATAGGCTGCACATGTGGTACTTGTATGGGGTTTGGTCTCATAGTTTCATCAGGGAATTTTTAGGGAGAGAGATTTTGCATAACCAATCTACCTCGTCTCCTTCCTCCCGCATTAACAAAGAGCTTCCAAATCGCCATTCCGGAAATAATAGGTTTGCAGTGTTCTGCTAAGAAGATGGCTATTGGAACAGACATGACTGAGAACAGCCAAGAACATCTGGTGGGGATATTACTGGCCAGATCCATCAAAGGAAAACAGAGAGAATGTTCCATAGTAACAAAGTATTTGTACCTAGTAGGCCTAGGCTTTTGTTTTTTCAATACAGTAGTATTGAATATCCATACCGTTCTGTCCTAATGTGTACTGTACAGTATCCACTTTTCATTATCTGTCTCTCATGGTTTCAATGAACATTAAGACCCAGTAGACAGTGTTTCAGAACATTGTGTTTTCAACATATATAGAACTATATCATTTTCTGCTCTTAGCATGCCAGTTCCAAGAAGGTGGTCATATAAAAGAACTGTGGAAATTGATATGTTGTTGTGTATGAACAGCTTCCTGGCCAATCTTCCAAGCCCAAAGAAGAGATCCTTTACAACGGGGAGGAAGGAGAGAAAGCAGAAGAGACAAGAAGCCAGTCGAATGGCTCTCCTGCAGTGGAGTCTAATGGTTCAGACCAGAGGAACAACCCCTCTCACAATTCCCAGGAGTCAGTGAAGGATGGAGAGAGCGTCGCCTCCTCCATACAAAGCAGATCCTAGAGAAAAGTTGCCCAGAGCCTCCTTTGGAAAGTTGAGACAAAATGAAGGTTACAGTGCTCAGTCTGCAGATTTATGCAGATTATGAAGGGGGGGCATGATACCATTGGATGCCACAGGTCTGACAAAGTAAGACAAAGTTAACCCTTGGAAGTCAAATTTAAGTCATAAGACCACCCTTCATTTATTCAGTTTCTAGTCAAAACAGCCAAGTTGTTCATTTTTCAGCATCAGGAAAAAAGCAGAAAAACATATTTAACTAAAATTTATACAGCTTTTGTCTTTATTACAACTTCTGTTCCTTTCAGGATATTTGCTTTCAGTTTTTTAAAGAAATCTGCAGGGATATTTTTCCACACTTCCAAAGTTCAGCCTTAGAAGTTGGTTTGCATACCTTTTAATAAATTTGTGAACTCCAGTTGTACTTATTTTACAAGTGAGTTATCATCTATCTAATCTCAGAAAAATCATCTGAAAAAATTGTAACTTGTACTTAATGGCAGTTTTGACTGGAAATGAATGTTACGCAATGATAAAAATGTGGCAAAAGTAAAGAATGTTTTTCCCACAAAATTATATATATAATAATTTTGGAGTAGAAAAGGATGAATTTTATCATCAAATGATATTGAAAGTTTAATAAGCTGTGAAAACTAGCAGATGACATCCTGCTTTTATCTCCAGTATTTACTGCAACTTCTAACAATCTGTCTAAAGATCTTCAAGTATACAATAACTTTATAAGTCCACTGCAACTGCATGTGCTTAGCTTAAGTTTAAATTCACATATTTACTTTTCTTATCAGGTATAAGTGTCAGACCCAGCATTAAATTAGTTAAAAGTGTGACAAAAAGAATGTTCCATCAGACATCAGGCGTAGTTTAAAATCGTTTATTTTTGTTGAAAATCATTAAGAAAATGTCAACGAAAAAAAATGCTAGAAAGTAGGAACAAACTACTCTTTTTTTCTCATTGACTAAAACTTAACAAGTTCCATTATCAAACCAGAAAAAAATGAGAGCAAATGTATGACTGACAACTGTGTCTTTCACCAGAGAGGCCCATTCAGTTGTGACTGCTTTTATAGAGTCTTAACATTTTTTAAGTATCTTTTATTCTGCAGGTGTTTTTCCCATATTTAATTAATGGAGGATGGAGACACAATACTTCAGTATATGTAATACATCACATCTACTAACAACAGACTTTTCTAGGCTTCAGATGTTTTTAATAAGTCCATCTAATATGCTCAGATCTCTTAAGTAGTACAATCAAATAAGTCTGCTTTTAGTATGTTGCATCCTTGTATGTTCACACTTAGCAACATGTATAGCATTACAACTGCACATCATATATTTCAATGCAATCAATTTTGGCACATTCACAGATTCCATCCTTTCATCATACAACACCAATACACAGTCCTTCCTCTGCTTTCTGAGTCACAAGAGAGTTATCAAATAGAAACATTGCTGGTCTGGGGAGAAAACAAAAACCAGTATGTATTTGAACATCAGTCTTGTGACATGCACAGGCAAAGCAATGAAACTACAGGACTGTAAACACTGTGTTTATACAAATAAATAATCAGTGCTGACTTAAAAAGATCTTGGGATGGTGAGAGATCACACTTCGGTGACTCCTGTAAGACATGGAACTTTGGATGAAACTTTGCAGCTAAAAACAATGCATTGTTGTTTCTGTTTAGACCATCACAGATGTCACCAGGATATTGCTTTGACTAGAATGACGTATATGTTACTCCTCTCTTTTCCTCTGTTTTTAATAAGCAAATAAACCTTTGAATGCCACCAAAATGTTTCCACTTTGTGGCATATCTGACATTTGAATCTATTTTCACTGGAATAATGTGAAGGTCAGTGTTTTAAAACACTCCATACATTTCACAAGGAACCTCAGCCTATTCTCTCACACAGTCATGCCTGGTTTCCTCAAAATGATGAACACTGCAGTCATCTTTGACTTGGTTTCGACAGCGACTACCAACACCATGGCACACAGACTGGATTGTTGATCTCTGCCCTTCATCGAGTGGTTTATGCACAGTTCTGAGCAAACATCAGCCACAGGGCTTCTTCCACATCCTCACCAAAGCCGTAACGTTGGGGCCAAAGAGGAATCGGCCTGCCCTTGTTTCTGGCATCTAAAGTAGGTCACCTCAGACCAAAATCAGGTGTGACTCCATGACACCGTCTGCCTCACAGTGAGTCGGTGCGCTTCCGGGCAAACACGGCAGACATGCTCTTGACAATGCCCTTGATGCCTGCCGGCTTTTTGACTGCTGACCTGGACTCCCTGATGCGGTTAACCAAGCCATGGAACACCATGAGGACGCTGTGGTAGTTCTCAGCGGCTGAGACTTCATAGAACTGACAATCTGCGGAGAGTGCCAGCATCCGGCCCTCCTCGCTGAGGACTGTGCGCCGGTGGTGCAGATCTCTCTTGTTTCCTACGATAACTACTGGCACTTTCTCTAAACCTGCATAGTCCTTTGTAGCCTTTATGCTCTGGAGGAGTTTGCTGACGTTGTTGAAACTGGCTCGGTCACAGATGCTGTAGACCAGGACGAAGCCGTCGGCCCACTGCACTCTCTTTTCAAAGGTGATGGACTCGGAGGACAAGTCCTGCTGAGAGACATTCAACACCCATACAGAAATCTGTTACATGGCAATATATATTTCAAATACGTAACATATATTAGCATATATGGATTTCCCTTACTTCCAACTTATTCTCATGTGGTCATTTATGTGACATACATGCCAACTTATTTGTATTAGGCCATTTTCAAATATGGGACATGTATTTCAGTCATATATCAACATGCATAAGCATATATGTGTAATGCAATTAACAATATATAGAAAACCCTACTCCTATGTTGATGGCATATATCGCTCATATATGTTAGCTGCAAGTTATATAAGGATTTTTTTATTGTATGTGTGTTGCTGGTTTATTTCATTTAGATTTTTTGCCTTAAAATATCTTTTGGTGTTTGTACCAGACCTATGGATCAGACATATATCAGACAGACAGTATATGTGATCTATGTATTATGAATATATATGTTCATCCACCTATCAGATACACATATACCATCCTTCTATTAGGCATATATGTCCAATATTTGATACTTGTAAATATGAACATATCATATATTTACATATATTTTGAAATACATGCCTGACCCTTGATGATATATGTACATATATGGCCATATATCAGACTTCTGTATGGGGATGTCCATTTCATGGGTATGAGTTACCACTTTCCACTCCAAAAGTTCTTTTAATATTACTAATTGACTAGTAATAGTATTAGTATTCCTAATTTACTCCTGAATGTCAGTCATTATAGCGACAAAATTAAGTTAACAGTGCAAACTCTTACCTGTGAATAGGGAGAATCCCAAATATTGAGAGTCTGCTCTCTTCCATCCACGATAATGTTGTGACTGTAGATAGACTCTGTGGAGAAACACAGAGTTTTGGAAATTTATCTCAGGGCTCAGTCCTCAAAGTGAAGTGAAGTTATTCAGCCTCAATAAGAGTAACTTACCAATATCTCCATATTCCCCGATGAATCTCCGGGTAAGGAAGCGAACAGTGAGTGCTAAAGCGAGAGAAACAGAATCAGTATTGACTGTCTGCGCCCTCGACCTTGACTAAGACAGACTTTTCGTCAGGAAAAGTAGCATTTCTCATTTAAAAATAACTTCTAATGAGCATAATCGTTTCGTTTCTATAACTTGAATAGATCACCCACCTGATTTACCGACATTATCTGTTCCCAGCACCACAATATTTGCCTCCATCCTCGGTGTGTTCAGTCCAGTCATATCGCTCTAAATGACGCCGGAGTCAGAAACACAACAAAGTCTGAGAGGAGGCGGCACGCGCGCGCCTTCCCACACGCCGTAACCTAGTGACGCGCGAGCACAAGCACGAGCTGCGTGGAAGGTTCCATCTGAGTTCGAGAGGGGTTCAGCAAGTAAGACTAAAGAGTTTAAACATGCTGTCGCTTTTTAACATAAGGATGCTATGAAAAACGAGCAAAACCCGATTTTTATTCTAACTAACTAACATCTACTGAGTAGAAGTTCGAGTCGGTACAGAGCCGATTTATTGATTCACAAGTCAAATATTCTCCTCTCCTCCATGTACCACGAGGACTCGGTTCAGCGAGTCAGCCTGATTCCTCTGCTTCTACTCACTGATGGAGTTGGACAGGCACGCAGTACAAACACACAGAAGCCAGCTACGAAAGACGTGGAGCCTAGTCAGATCCAGTAATTAATATATAACATTCTGTGTTATGATTTTATGATTGTATAAAAATTTTGTTTGTTTTCATTTTGTATCACAGTTCTTCAGTTCTTCTAAAACACGGGCGTAAACAGTCCTATACTTCGCAGATGCAACGAAAAGTTTGATTCAGTTGTACTTCTGAATCGATTCTCCCGATTTGTTGAAAAGAAAGTGTAGTGAAGTTACTCAGCCTAAATAAGAGTAACTTCTTCGTTGAATCTCAGGGAAAGGACGGTTTTTCATTATACACCCAATCATGGACAATAAACGCTTAAACTAAAGTAAACAGAATCAGTATTCCAATATTCTGCGGATGCAACGAGAAGTTTGTTACAGTTGGAATTCTGAATCGATTCGCCTGAATTGTTGAAAAGAACCGATTCAAAGTAATGATTTATTCCGGATGTTCCTAATAATAACATTAAATATCAAATTTTAAGAGCTTCCCAACTGTCTTCTTTAAATTCTGTGTTGACGCTGAAAAAAAGATAAATCTGCATTAGAAACATTAGAATTTAAGCAGCCTTTTAAACACCTGATTTGTTTGTTTGTTTTTAACAACACCATTTCTCCTTTGTTAATGAATCTGTTCTTACACATGGGCCAAAATATAGGCTTATAAACCAAGTATTACATGTAGTTTTTCAGACATGGAGTGGGCCTGTAGGTCCAGGGAAACATGCTGATCTTTTTTTAGTTCAGACAGAGAATAACAGTGTAGCTGTAATCCAAAATATAATATGAGTCACAAGGTGGTGCCAGTTGTTCATGCCTTGGAAAATCAGTTTACAAGAGTTGCAGACACTGACCCAGTCTGTTGTGTTTGTAGGGCTTTTCCAAAGACTGTTAAGCTGAGAATTTTTATTTAAGCGGTTAGTGTATGATCTGTGAGTACTCAAACAGATAGACCATCTCCACACAAACCTCACTCCTCTCTAGTTCTGGTGGGGCTACTGCATGGCTAAGCCCTTCGAGAGTCCAATCAGGTGAATCACAAAACAGAAAATGTACCATTCAACTTGGAGATTGCTGGAATTTTGCAAAGTTGATACCATTAAATAGAGAAAAGTGTGCAATTAAAACATTAGTCAAATAAAGTGATGGCTGTAGGTGACAGCCTGCTCCCATTGCAGTCTATTCATTGTACATGACCGCTCATAGAATAAAATCCAATCTCAGTACATCCTCACAGGCAAGATCATACTATTTTAGAATTTGTTTAATTTTTTTTAAGCTATAATTAAGACTAAATAGGTCATTGTTATCTATTGACTCTTAACCCAATCTCTGCATATCAGATGTCTCCTCTTTTTTTATAGCAGTGTAACTACTCTGACTGGACAAAGACAGTTCACACCTTCTCCTCCTCATGTATAAAACCTGTCATCACATCGCTTTCTTCTGGTCATGTTGTCACCTTTGGACAGGTGTACTGTCTTACTGATTCTTATGTCAGATGGCTGCCTTGAACAGCTTTGGCCCAAATGATGTAGGAGAATCCTGATTGTAGGATGTACCACTGCACTGCTTTTACTGGTTGACCCTTTAATGGGTACATGATATGCACTGATTATCTTTGTAATTATTATTATTATTATTATTATTAGTAGTAGTAGTAGTAGTAGTAGTAGTAGTAGTACTGTCACATCATATACATGTAGAGGAATAACAATGATGTCCCTCTCTATAAATTGCACTCTATAGTACAAACCCAATTCCAAAAAAGCTGAGACAATAGGAAAAATGTAAATAAAAACAGACAGCAATGATTTGCAAATCCTTTTTGACCTGTATACACTACCACAATACAAAGATAAGACATTTAATGTTTCAACTAATAATCTTTATTGTTTTTGTATATATATATATATAAAGCACTTTGAATGACAGCAGTGAAAGGTGCTTTATAAATAAACTTGTCTTGCCTATATAAACTTATTCTGAATTTGATGCCTGCAACATATTTGGACAGGAAAAAACATTTGGACAGGGATGTGTTTACCACTGTTTTACCTCACCTTTGCTTTTAACAACATTTAGTAATCATTTGGGAACTGAGGACATCAATTGTTGTGGTTGTGAAAGTGGATTTTTTTCCCATTCTTTTCTAATATAACACTTCAGCTGCTCAGTTGGTCTCTATTGTTGTATACTGAACTTCATAATGTGCCACACAGTTTCAATGGGGGACAGGTCTGGACAGTAAAGTTGATAAGGTAAAATATTAAATATCTTTATTTTGTACTATTTTCATTAAATACCCAAAGAAGATGGTTCACAAATCACTGCTCGCTGTTTTCATTTTCATTTTCCTTCTGTCCCAACTTTTTTGGAATTGGGTTTGTACTTTCAGTGCTCCTGACACACAGTGATAGTTATGTGAAAATTAGGGCAACAGATGGAATCCATCTAAACACAACCTGCAGTTTGTTAATTATTAATGCTGAGTAGTTAGTAGAAGCAGACAGTTTGTTTGTGCGAAGGTTTTGTGTTTAGTCTAATGTATCGTTCCAAACAATGTAGGAAAAAAATAGGAAAACGCCAAGAAACCCAGTCATACAATTCAGGCACAAAAGCTCCTTGCAATGCTGTATTCTACCAGAAGAGTTCAGTGTTGTTTAATGCACAGCTTGATATCCGTTCACCTGACCAGAGAGCAAGAGCCTTAATAGAACTCAGCATAAATCTAGCATTTGCTTACTTTCAGCTGTTTAAGTAGAAAGTAAATCCAAGTTTACATCCAATATGTCAAGGATGTAAAGTATTTCAGTCTTTACATTCATTATCTTGTCAAAAAAAAAGGCATTTTAATAGATAGGCTTCCTGAAACTATGCTCCTATCATCAGGATCAGACTAAACATCAATACCAGGCTATCTGAGTGCTATAGAGAGAACTAGCTGGCACTTTGTATAGACTTAACTTTAGGCCTCAAAACTCTTCTTTGGTGTTTTTTGAGAGGGTAGTAATCAAAGTAAGTGCTTAACCTTCAGAAAATGTTATTTTCCCACATCAGGCTATCAAATCAGACACTACGTGTGCTGCTTTTTTCTGAAATGTACAGTATTTTTTGCAACCCTGTTGCTAATTTTTAGGGAGATGTATAAATGGCATTTAAAAGCCTGTGTTTAACTGAGTTCATTATTTTCTAGAGAGAAAAAACATTTATTTATGAAATGCTTTTAGAACCTTTCAAATAATAAAAATTCAAAGTTTTTTGTGTTTTCAATATTTCTTGTATCTATTACGTCAAAGCCTTGGACATTAACCCAATAATGTTGTGATTGTGGTGAAGATTTTAATGAATATATTTCATAGAAAAGTTCAGTGTCAGTGAGGTGGGACAGCCTAAAATCACCATATTAAAGGTAGGTACAGACATTTTAAATGTTTTGGGGATCATTTAAATTCTAATTTGAATAATAATAATAATAATTTTATTTTAAGTTAAGGTACAGATCCATTCACATTTCACAGAAATAAACAAGTCACTTTATTGCTTTTAAAAAGGAAATGGAAAGACAGCCTCACACACATTACACTGAGAGACACAGCCTCACACACATTACACTGAGAGACACAGCCTCACACACATTACACTGAGAGACAGAACCTCACACACATTACACTGAGAGACACAGCCCACACACATTACACTGAGAGACACAGCCCACACACATTACACTGAGAGACAGAACCTCACACACATTACACTGAGAGACACAGCCCACACACATTACACTGAGAGACAGAACCTCACACACATTACACTGAGAGACACAGCCTCACACACATTACACTGAGAGACACAGCCCACACACATTACACTGAGAGACACAGCCTCACACACATTACACTGAGAGACACAGCCCACACACATTACACTGAGAGACAGAACCTCACACACATTACACTGAGAGACACAGCCCCACACCATACACTGAGGACGAACCTCACACATTACACTGAGAGACAGAACCTCACACACATTACACTGAGAGACACAGCCCACACACATTACACTGAGAGACACAGCCTCACACACATTACACTGAGAGACACAGCCCACACACATTACACTGAGAGACAGAACCTCACACACATTACACTGAGAGACACAGCCCACACACATTACACTGAGAGACACAGCCTCACACACATTACACTGAGAGACACAGCCTCACACACATTACACTGAGAGACACAGCCCACACACATTACACAGGCTCGTAGGCATATTAGTTATAACAGATATTCACCGTAGGCTCTGATGTGTCTGTTTTTAGCCATCTGAAAATCTACACAACCTACACATCAAAGTCACAGCAATGACAAGAAGTGGGTCATGTGATAATACTGCACAATGAGATACGCTACCGCTACCTTCCCTCAGGTCTGGAAATGCATGAGATGTGTGAGGTCTTTATGACTCCCACAGGAGAAACATTTAAAGCCTGGTAAAATGATTTATAAATCTTATATATGAAGTCATTGCAGAGAATTTATATATTAGCTTCTGTCTGCACACTTGGGCCAGTTCCTCCACTTGCAGGCTGATAGCTAGCATAGCCGTTTGTACTGCTGTAAGCACTTGTGAAAAGCTACACCGGAGTCTTAAGTAAGCTTATTTCCTGTACATGTAAGACATTCAGCTTTGTAACGCAGACCTAGCTACAAACTGCTGGCTTTTTCATGGTGTTTACTCTGTTAAAGGCTGACTTTTGAGTCTAACTTCATAGATACTATTGCATAAGTGGAATTTAACTTAATTGAACACTTTTGTCTCTGATTGATGAAATGGGAATCATCTACTCTCTCAGAAATAAAGGTTACATATGGTTCTTGGTCTGGATGTACAGTTCTAGGAAAAGCTTCAGTTGGTACCTTTACAGTAAATGTACTTCAGTTCTGTAAAGTCAGAAAAGTGAACTGGTAATCACAGTGCACAGTCTTTCCATACTGTAAAAGATTTCCAAGTAAAATGCTGTGTT